ACCCAACACTGTGGAAGCTGTGGCTGCCCCCTCCCTGGCAGTGCTCAAGGCCAGGTTGGATGGAGCTCTGAGCAACCTGGGCTGGTGGAAGATGTCCCTGCTCATGGCAGGGGGACTGGAACCAGATGATCTTTAAGGTCCCTTCCAACTCAAACCATTCCGTGATTCTGTGATAATATCACATTGGACAAAACCATTGCAGAGAGCAGACTACACGGTGCACTGAACCAGCCACAGTCCTGCCCTTGTAGGAGAACACAGGAACGCTGGCAGAGTGTTTTCGAAACTATGAATGAGGGTTTTTATCAAGTTTTGCGTTCTTACTGCTTTGGGAGTGCTAGGACAGGAAGGGTCATGTTCAGCTGAACTTCACATCTGCACTGAAGAAGCCTGCAGGAAGACACTGGGGCTCCCAGCTGTGCCACTGCTCTAACATTTGATAGATAGTAGGAAGCATGAGGAAAAAAACTGAATTCTCCACAAAAGAATCCCTATGTAGTGAACGAATTACATGACTTCAAAAATCAAATGCATTGACTGACTGAAATTACGTCTACAACTAAGCAGAAGGCCAAAAGTGCTGTTCCAGTAAGCAAGAGTCAATATTCAACCCAGCATACATTTAGTTCTACAAACAGCAAGCAATGGTGAAGTTTATTTTATCTCAGCCACTGCACAAGCTTCAGGGCCACAATCAGAGAAGTGTCTGCAAATGCAGGGTCGGGGCTATGAGCGCACTCATAGCAACCTGCTTCCCTCCTTTGAAGCAAGCACCAAGGGAGAGCAGAGCCCATCACTCTCTTCTGCGTGTTCCCAAATACACCCATGCCAAATGCCCAGAAGATTTACAGCTCAGTGAATCACTCGAACAGTAAGTTATTCAAGAAGTGGAATTCCCCACAGAGCCGTAACTCCTGCCAACTTCCACAGGCATTTTATCTCCTCACAGAGAGTGGGGCTTTAATAATGTTGCCTTCTGCCTCTCTTCAACGCTCCCGTATCGTCAGTAATTGGTGCAGCTTTTTTGCCTTTAAAACAGGATCGAGCAAATAGATCGGTGATCAATCTCTGTCCGATTCTGCGGTATTCGGGGAGCTGGCAAATGGTTTATCTGGACCAGAATGTGAAATACTCTAGAAAGTTGTGGAAAAAAATACAAGTTGAAAGTTAGGGAA